ATCGAGTGCTTGTGTTTGACCCAATTTCGCATCTCTAGAGCCCCATTTTCTACTAAATGTGAATTGAATATCTTCGATTTAAAAGGTTCATTAGTTGTCAAACGGAATATGACTATTTGAAATGAGAAATGCACATTCTCATGTAACGATTTCTGCCGTGTCTACACTTGGGTCGTGTTTAGGCTTGTCCGCCTTTTTTACCTCAGCTCTAATGCAACTTTCATTTTGGGTTTTAAAAATTTTGAACTATAATCATAATTTTCACTTCTAAATATTTTTCTTATTTTCTATAATATGCATTAAGAAAGTGCTATTTATAACCCTAAATTTTTTAATCTAGACAGGTAAATTTAAATTATTATTTTCTAAAACTATATTTAAAGTATATGTAAAATGAGACATACGCATACATAGAATAAAAAAATTTATTCAGAGTATCAAAGAATTAACAAGAATAATTCTGATTCGGCATGAAATATTCCATCCTTAGCTTATACAACTTCTGAATCTCACTATTATACGAAATCCTTAATTTCTTGAATTACAGAAGAAATAGAAGAAGGAGAAGGTGCCTATTTTGGATAAAAAAATAAAGGTTTCAATGCAAAATCTAGTCCTGAAATATCTCGTGGAAAACTTCCTTGCCCTACTTACGACTTTGATTGACTACGTACATATAAGGTGTCTTGGTTATGTCATGCATTTTCCACTGACAGTGTTGCGTTGTATAGTTGGAAGGACTTTGGTGTTTTATCTATTTATATTTTTATTATTTATACAAAAATACGTTAATACATTATAATTATTATATGATTACTCAATTTACAACCTCATATGATATAAAATTATAATTATTATCAAATTAGATACCGTTTGTCGTAATATAGCTGAAAAGTTTACAAATAGTCTTATATTTCAACATCTTGTATCGAATAAATCAATAGATCATTCAATAAATTCAGAAGTTTCCTTTCAGAGAACAGTTATTCGCATTAACTTCCATCCGTAAAACAGAGGTGACATTCGAAGAAATCAGAGTAAAGATGAGGATAATAATTTAAAAATATCATTACAATTTGACTAAGAAAATAAAATTAAAAAATATAGTCATAAAAAAATATTATTTTTGAAATTATTATAGTAAATATTAATATATATCAATGATCAATTTTGTTTCAGATATGCTGTTAAACACTTCCATTTTAAAAGTGATCTTATAACTATCCACAAAATTCATCCTTGAAATTACATGTCAGAACGATTGATTATTCAAAAACATAATATTCTTTTCACGGTCTCACTTTTACTTGACACCAAAATTAAGAACTTGATGCAGAATGGGATGCTATTGTTTGGGGACCTTTTTTATAAATTCAAAATCGAAAATACCTTATAAGTCTATTTTCTCAGATCTACATTTACCCAGATGGCAGTGTCCAAACGAAATCTAGAAAACTTTATTCGAATGATCAACCATTCCAAGTCCATAGCTGCTAGAGTATGTAACTAGCATTTTTGAATCCATTTATTGCTACGATGTGAAGATCACGTTATAGATCTATTTATTTGTGAATGGCACTTTGCTCGTTCAGCTTGCCTCTCGGACTCCGTATAAAAGAAGTTTGTGATAAACATTCGAGCTCTGACATTTGTAGGTGTACATGCGTGACAATTCCCATACACAAAACCTCGCACTGGTCAAAGAAGATGGATTTTCTGGATGGAAGACAAGAAGATATTTGTCCAACCTTGACAAGTTAGCGAATTTCCAGCAAATCACACAAACTTCAAAAGCAGAGAAAGATCTCGACCAATGAAGTGGCTATTTTCCAGATAGTTCTTGGGTTCAAACGACGGAGCCCCGGGAAGTGGGAGTTTTGTTTTCTCAAAAATGAACTCAAATTCCGAAATCACGGAAGTATTCATCGTCTACAAGGAACTAACTCTCACAAAGTCATGACGAACATGCTTCAAGACGACACATATTTAATTATTGCATGAAATCTTAATATTGTCAATCTTGCACTTACTTCTAAACGCGAGTGCCGGTCGAAGCTTAAAGAAGAGTATCTGTATTCCATCTTTCACTCTTTCCCAAACAAGATCCACCAACATCAACATAGAAGAAGATTGTGTCTCACATTTTCTCGCACTCTGAATCGCGCGTATGCCGTGGACAAAAGAGTATACTATGAGCGCGTATCCGACAAAACACGAGGATGCAAGATGATACTGTAAAGAAGTCCCAAATCACAGCGTCGGGAGCTCGGAGCAGCAGCAGCAGTAGGGTTTGCTGTCATGGAAATAGCCGATGCTCAATCTTGAATAAGGAAGGAAACGTGGGCGATAGGTTTAAACGCAAAGCCCGAGACCCGAGACCCAAGCGAGTTTCCTGATCTTCAGTTACATTCTTCACCAACACCACTCTTATCGCCTCCGCCCATTTGTGAGTCTGTGAGTAATCACGCTCTCCACACATCGGCAACATTCGGTCTCGACGATGTCAATAATAACTCCCAAAGTTTATGACGGGGTTCTCCATTAGATGCAGTTCAAATTTCACGCTTAGTTTTGACCCCTGGCGCTGTGGAAGCGAGTAGCCTTGGGATGTGAAGTGAAGGCAAGAACCTACTTACATGCCCGGATCATTGATTGGTTGGAATTCATGCGACAGGATCTCATGTTGGTGTGGGGATGGAGTTACAGTAGTAAGTAGGAAAGGGACTTTGACTTTAAGAGAAGATATAAAGGTTATCGAGCTTGACTGTGGCATGGACGGACTGACGAGGGAGGGAGGGAGGGAGAGAGCAGGTAAGTTTGTTTACGCTTTATCAATCACCTTCTGCCGCCCCACTTTAGTCTTGATGGTTCTTACATGCCCAAGCGGATCGTCATATGGTTTCTTTTGGAGCCCCGGTGTAATCAGTAACGTGGCGTGGCAGACAAAGCGTATGCAGATCAATCCGTTTTCGCGCATCGTAGTAGTAGTGATACCAGGCGATGATTTGGGAGTGACAGAGTTTCCTTTCTCATTGTATACGATGCCTTTCCTCCTTGTCTGCTGGATGTGATGTCATGTTCTTCTGCAGTGAGGCCCGTCGACATGTGCTTCCATTTTGGATCCCAATCCGGCCAAGTCACCTAGAAGCACCTCGCCCGGAGCCTTCCATGAGAATGCGCTGCAGACGTACAAGCCTCTGCAAAATCTACTTTCCCGGAAGCATGTTGGTTTCTTGTTCATGTTGTAAATTGTGCTCCACAATTACACACTGGTGTCGTCATCTTTTTGCGAGTATTAAGAAGCCTTGATGCCTTTCCACAATTCGATTCCAGTCATTTTACGAGTGACTATAGGGCACATGATAGTGATGCCGCATAGCTTGTCCAGATTCGGAGAGAAACCCCATCCGGAGCAGCACCACGGGAAGGGGACGGGAGTTGAGATGATCCGAGAGCGTTCCGTTCGTTGTGAAAAAGGCGTTACTTTTATTGGATTGTCATTTCGTGTGACATAGTCAATGAATATACAAGAATAATACAAAAGGCAAGCGAGTAGAGGGGAGGGGAGGGGAGGAGAGGGGAGGGGAAGGGAGGCAGAGGCGACATGGCGATTTCTTTCGCTCATGATGAAAGAAAAGGCCAGGCATGGCAACGAAAGCAGCCACTGGTCCCTCTGCGAAAGGGAACAAAAACCATCCCCCTGCGAGTTAGGTGCACCTCGGAGTGAGGCGTGAAATGAGCTTCCAAACATATTCTTTACAAACCCTATCTCATATCATGTCATATTGCGTGAGGTAGGGTATTTCACATGCAAAGAAAGCGTAAATTACAGTTGTCTAAAGTAGAATACTGGAGCCGAAAGGAGCCCTTGATCTTGGTGGGAACTGCGCACAGAAAGGCCAAGCCGAGATGAACAAAGAAAACAGTCAACCTGCGAACTCGGGGAAGGAAAATATTATATAGAATGAGAACAGAGCGAGCGGAGATGGCACAGAGACGGTGATGGATGGATGTACAGGGAGGGGAGGAGGACGAGAGGACGGGGAGGGGGTGGGGTATGAGGGAAACCGGCCAAGAAACAGAACAAGTGCTTTTGTCCAACACGCATCCCCAAAAAAGTCGAGAATCACTTTCCACCTGTTCTGCTGGAATTGCCCATTGACCAACTATGCATCGATTGGCATACAACAATAAAAAAGAGCTCGAAATTCTGTCGAATTCTCGGCTGCCATCGGTTCGAAGACCACAACAGTGGCAGAACATCGTACAGATGGTGATAAAAACATCGCCCATGGACATGAGTATCAATGAACTTTCACCTGGCCCTGCCTGGCTGCGCTGCGCCCCTCGCCATTGGCTCCGCGACGCCGAGCGACCCTCTCCCTCTCCCTCTCCCAGCGAGCTCCAACATCTCGCCCCCTCAGGCCACTGTTCGCCCCTCTGCGCCTCGCTGTCACGGCCCCGCTCCGCTCCGCGCGCGTTGAGAAACTCGAGCCCAGCGGCCCGCCGGGCGGGCGGGCGCGCGCGGACATGCGCTCCGCCCGTTGGGCCGCGCCCCGGCGCGGTGTCCATGTGGACCGTCTGTACGCTGATGGAGGCACAGCGCTGGGCGCTGATGATGATGAGGTGATGATGGTGGCGCTGCTCCGCCCCGCTCCTCCGCTCTGCTCTGCGTCCCATGATCCTCCGCGAGAGCCTTCCCGGGTCCCGTCCCGGGACTGGACCCGCGACGGGACAGGGGCCACAGTCGTTCGCAGACACAGCACATGGCCGCGTTCCGGTTAGGGCCTGGATCCGGGCTCCGTCTGGGGACTGATGCTGTTTTATTTCCGGGGACGAGCCTTTTGTGCTCCATTGACTCTCCCATGCAAGTGCTTTTGCAGCGTCTCGAAGTGTGCGGCGAGGCCTGGGAGAGGGAGCGGCGAGTTCCCCACTCTCTCTCTCTCTCTCGCAGCCGAAAAGGAAAAAGGGGACAATGCGCCAAAAGGTGCTGCGCTGGGACGGGTCGGGTCGGGACAGGGCACGGGACAGGACAGGACGGGCGACGGCACGCGGGCTGTCGCAGCTTTGGCGTCAGGGGAAACAAAAGCAGGACTGGCCATATCATCCAACGGCTGCAGGATAGCTTTTGGCAACATGCTCATGAAACTCACGTCCCCCCTGGTGGGGGGAACGAAGTCCGCCGGGACGAGGTGAGGTGAGGGCAAGGCTGCGAGTGACAGTGCGGAATATATCTCATCGACCGATGATAATATAATCATAACGCGGCATGGGCTGCATCGTCTGCAGATGAGATTCATTGGATAACGCGAGAGAGAAAGGGAGCGAGGGAGATGGCTCTCCTCGAGACGAGCCTGCCTTTTCCTTTCGGCCATTGAACATGGCAAAAGACGGGGAATTCTTCTTTTCGCATCTCGCTGCCATAATGCCACCTGAGAGAAACCGACTTCTCCCATGCCTGATCCCTCACGCCATACATACTTTCGGACCATCAGGTTTCTTTACGGTGAAAAGCGACTGCGATCTGAGCTAAGCTGGACTGACCGGTGGTGGCAAAACCTTCAGACAATGGAATCCATGGCGCCCCCTTGGCCTGGCCGGGGACAGAATCAGACAGTGGCGCAAAGACAGCAACATCCAGATATCGCAGCATCAGAGCAGTAGTGAGTTTGGAGACGATATCAATATAAGAATGATGAGTGGCGAACAGATCGTACAGATCATACAGATGGCCCAGGCTGCCTACTTCACTAAAACGCTCTCGTCTTCTCCGACAGCGGCCGGGCGCCATTGCGTGCCATCACCCCCATCCATAAGGTTTATTCCTAGCGCGACGAGATTTTGGCGAATGACATCGGAACGCTCCCAGTCTTTTGCAGCTCGCGCACCTGCTCTCTCCTGAACTTGGGCCATCAAATCTTCTTCAGTCAGACCTGCCCGTTTCAAGGCTAGTCGCTTTATATCCTGCAAGACCTGTGAACATGATCCACGCACTCAAATCGATGAGATCATACGAGATACTACAGATAACGGTCAATATGGTACATGCGATTTACCTGATCAGCAACTGATTCTACGTTTTCAATGATTTCCTACTTTCTTCAGACTCAAAGACCGAGTTACGGAGAACCGATCTCCCCGTGCACGAGACTAAAACTCATGTCTAGGACCGAATCGTTTAAACTTGAGTTAACGGGTCCAAGCCCTGAGAAGATTTTTCTTCTGCACATCCTGAACTAGGATCCAAGTCGACTACAGATATTGAATCCATATGTGCTATTAAAAAGGAAAGGCCAACTGAACCATTGGATCCAACTATGTATCCAGATAGTTTACGTATTTTTTGAACTCGCCGTATTCTTCAGGATCCAATCTTAAACTTTGAAAGCAGTGACAAATTACAAAACAGACGGAACCTTTACAGATTGAATAGCAAAAGAAGCGGTTGTATCTACCTTCCGGCACCCTCATTTACTTCTCAGCGGTTACCTGCTGATCTAACTGAGGGTACTGAGGGTCCTCTTCACAACTTTCCTATGATCCACAACACCATATACATGTAGCACCGCCCCTAAAAAGGCAAAGATCATTCACTCCAGCCGTTTCACGCCCGGTGGGATATACACATGAACGAGTTTCTCTTCTTACGAATAAGAATTACTGAAAACAGTTAGACCTTATCCTACCACTTGCAAAAATTTCGAAACCCATCCATTTCGTGGCATACCTCATCGTAGCTGGACACTGAAAGTCCTAACACTTCCAATAAACTCTGAAACTCATTCACCATCAGTCTCAACGATGCTATTCGAGACTTGTCTTTGCGCCCCTGGTGGTCAACCCACAAACACATCCCCGATTAATTAGACAATCTGCGAGTTGTTACGACACCGAACAAACTTCCTGTTTTCCTTAAGCAAAAACTGCTAGTCCATATTTCCTTGACGCCTACAGTTCACGCATCACAATAGCTAGTCAAAGCAGTCGGCTTTGATACAACACACCTTTTTGGTATGCATTAGGTCATTCATCAGCTTGAGAGGCTCAGAAAAAGCTGCCACCGCAACTGGAGTCAGCAGATCATCTGACATTGCTGTGAAAAATGCAGTTTTCATTCCCTTCACACATTCGGTTACTTCCTTCGAAGCAGGTTGAGAATCTGGAGAACTTTCGCTCAAAAGTTGCATGCAGTCTGCTAAGGTCTGCACGACATATACAGGGCTGATCAATACTCTTTTGCGGAGCAAAACTAACACGAATTTGAGTAGAAAAAGATTTGTTTCGAAGAGACGATTCAATAAAATGAGGCGTTGATCAAGAATACATGCTAGGAGATATACCATTCGTCCATCACGAGGTGAGCCAAAGTTTTGCCACATGAGCGGAATTTCATTTAAATACGGTTCTAAGTTTCTCTTGAGAGAAAGTTTCCAGCATCACAGCATGGTACCGAACCCTCATAAAGACCAGCTTCAATATAGCCAGATATCGATCGGAATCCAGTCTTGAAAAGATGAACTCACTTGATACAGGTAATATATCCTGTCTGAAGCAACTTCCAGTTGTCGCTTCGAGTAATTAACCGGACTTCGATATTGTGTTCCAATAAGAAACCAGCGAAGTGCAAGCGGGGAGAACTGCTCCAATACCTTTCATCATAACGAACACCAGTTGTCAAGACATAGCCCACTGTCGGTCCAAAAAAATATGGTGGCAATTTGTTGACAACCAAAAGAAATATTGAGCTTTCTTATTAACCCTGTACAGTTGAAGCGCAAAGGAAAGCATACCTCTCGAATGGTGAAAAAGTTCCCAAGAGATTTGGACATTTTCTCAGCATCAATGGTCACGAATCCATTGTGTATCCAGTACCGAATACTGCTGTCAGCACATGCTGCACAGCTCTGAGCAATCTCGTTCTCATGATGCGGAAAAACTAAGTCCAGTCCTCCACCGTGGATATCAAAAGAATGTCCTAAATGCTCTGCGCTCATGGCACTGCACTCAATATGCCACCCGGGCCGGCCAGGACCCCACGGACTCTGCCACGAAATCTCTCCAGGCTTTGCACTCTGTTGAGGTTGAGTTAACGGTAATCAGGATAACCAAACTTGAACATTGGATGTGAAACGGGAGCCGATCGTGACAGTATACTATGGTTGAATACCGTTCTATAAACATTCTTTGTCTTTAACCAGGTAGAATGGAACGATAGGTACTTCCGAATTTCGGACAGCATTAGGACTTCAGAATATGACCAAACACCTCTGCTAAGACTCTGCACTAGTACATCTGAGAGCACTAAAAAATTACCAAGTTGTCCATCTAGAACAAGGATAGAGAAATAATCCAAATTAACAATCAGTGATCCTGCAACCGGAGGCTATCGGCTCACCATGTGCTAAGGCGCTGACCTTCCAGAGGGCAAAGTCTGCTGCATTGCGCTTTCGAGAATCTACAGTGACACGCTCACCAGCACGATTCTCATCTTGAGAACGCCCGGACAGCTGGCCGTAAGCTGGAAAGCTTTCAACTGAGAAATAGACATCCCCACCCTCGATAGCATAAGCGTGTCCGTTTTCAATAATCTGCAGGATGGCCAGAAAAATGCTAGGTCACATCATCTGAGTTTTGATTTTTAAAAGTGGTATACTCACTTCACTTTTGAAAGAACATGAATCAGAGGTGAACTGACGATGCCTTGATAGCAACAAATGATTGAGCTGAGACAGAGTAGTTTCCCAACATTGAAGCCAGGGTTGGAGTATGGCACCAGCTCCCCACAAACATAACTAATCTTTTCAATTGTGATTGCAAGTGACAAGAGGATGTGATTGAGCATAATAAAGAATTGATTAATGTTTGACAGTTTTCATTAATTTAAAAGCCAGAGATAAAGAGAAAACTTATAATCAGCTGGACGTACCTTCTTTATCATCTCAACTATCTGTCTGATGTGCCCAGAAACCTTAGGTTCTAAAGTAGGAGGGAGGCATCGCAGTGCTGCCATATCAACATGGAATTCGTCACAGAACCGAGCACTTAAGCTTATAGGGTCCTCTCCTGTTTCCTTAGCTCTATTTATAATCTGCCAACACAGAGAAGTCAGGAAAATCCACTCAGTTAACAACGTTGACACTACAGCTAAAACCCCAGCGGTGATGCCTAACTTGCAACAAACACGAATGATCGTATTCATATACGTACCTTATCATCAATGTCCGTAAAATTTCGCACATAAGTCACGTCATACCCCAAATTCTTCAAATATCTACCACAAATAAGGTATATGATCAGACTACAAAACTGGAAATTGACATACAATTTGGGCGACACACACTTTCCAGACACTGCATCAATGTACTACAATTTCAATGACGAGAGGGATGCCAAAGGCAGTACAGTATCAGACCCTTAGACAAAATTGTACGAGGAGATAGAAGATGTGTTTCTTGGTGCAATTTGAATCAGACTGAAGATACATTTCCTCTTCTAAAACTCATAAGAGCTTTTCAAAGCAAAAAGCTTTCTATATCTACAATACTTCATCCTCAGCACCCAAGAAGAATCTTGCGGATTTAACATTCAACTTGGAAAGATTCTGCAAATATGAGAGGAAAAATACATTCTTCCTTTACGTGATGCTGTATATTACTCAACAATCCAAGCCCTTGGGCAAAAAAAAACAGAATGAACACAATTGTACAAAATCGATATACAAACCAATTGCAGCCCTTCGGACACGTAAGAATCTTAAATTTGGAAGTGTTGGATATGGAGTTACATCTCTGGAGATAATGAATTTACCTGTACAAAACGTCGAATGCCACATAAACTCGGGCGTGACCGATGTGACTGAAATCGTACGACGTAACGCCACAGACATACATGCTCACTTTACCAGGAACGATGGGCCGGAAAATCTCCTTCTGCCTAGTCATGGTGTTATACAGCCGCAGCTCCGACTGCAGGGCCTCGTCTTTCTTTTTGTTGCCCTTCTCCTGTGCGCCTTGCTTCTGCGTGACAATGCTCGGGCCCGTGGAAACCTCTCTCGCGGAATTCGCTCGGCATGCACCATATCTTCCCCTCGCGAAACAAACACCACGAAAATTTGCTCTCGCGGCTCCCGACCATTTTCCGTCGCCCCAAAGAGACGAGGAAGCAGAGGCAGCCAGAGCACTGGCGGCCTTCGGGGAAGAAGATGCAGGAAATCCGACCGCTCTCTGAGTGGCAGCGAAACCCTGCCGCAGAGACATGGCGCCCACGCAACTCATTCTCGATGCGCTTCAATCTGGCGCCCCTCACTTCCGTGGATTCTGCGTCATCTCTTCGGAAGAAGAGCGTGCGTCTATGGACGAGGCCCGGGGGGTCTTTGCGGGGGTTTATTCACATCATATCCCCCCACTTCAGTTCGCTCCCCAGTCCCGGCTCTCTCGCACCAGTCTGCAAGTTCTTCTGTGCAGCGTGCTTCTTCTTACAAGAACTGTGTTGGCCACTCGGATCGTCGTCCGGATGGTGGTCATGATGAACGAACGTACCGGCAGTCCGTCTGGTACGTCTGTCAAGCTGATGGTCTAAAGTACAAGTCATGCTTCCCGTCCTCCAGTTCCTCGATGTCCATAGCATACTGACAAAAACCAGAAACCAGAAACCAGAACCCAGAACTATGTACCATCGCGGTTTCTACTATTTGGCATTTTCTCAATGCGTGCTGGGTGTTTAAAATACAGTATATTAGGTCACTAAACACGATTATCTTGATTTAAATAAGGTCACATTTATGTATGAACTCAAGGGCGTTGGAACTCAAGAGTTGGATGTTTGAATGCTACTTTACCTCTACGTAAATGTGAAGTATCTTCTCCTCACATTAACATCTCTATAGGGAAGTGTTTGCTACCCAAGGTTTGACATGGACAATTTGTCTATGGAGGTCGATATTCATGATACCAGAGAACCAAAAGACTTGGAGTGACTGGAAGATATATGATCTAATATATGTCAACTTACACTGAAGATAAGTGGATGGATTATGATGCTGGATACAACAACTCAGAAGCCGCATACAAAGTAAGTCGGAACATTCCATGAGATTGGCTTCCTTCTGAGTTATTGCTAGTTCATTTCGTCGAATTGGTGTGCTCAATGTAGCACCAAATCTTGCTCAGGAGACAGAATACGGCATGAGGATCCAGGATGTATATCCATATCCACTATTTCCAATAAGTATTCTTGAACTTCCAAATTACAAAAAAAATATGGAAGAAGTTCTTCTTTTTACTATATACAGATATGAATTTATCTTAACGAAAAAAGATGATTGGTAGAATAATAATTTTAATTTTATGAAATGCACTTGATTTGTTATCAAACTCATTTCATTGATGTACTATCTGCTTCCTTTATACCATTTTCAAAATGATAAATATCCTTCTAAAAATATAGAATGATATAATGGTCATACAAGTTATAATCGCATCAATATCAAACAGAAAGGAGGAAAATTGAAATATTTGATAAAAATATAAGAAAAATAGTATTTCACTTAGATAATATCTAAATTGATATTTCTAAGAAAAAAATTTAAAATATTAAATAAAATATTTTAAATTATTATTGTCTAACAAATTATTCAATCAAATCATTCATGAATTATTTTTAAAATCTATCATCATGAAAATATGAATACTAGCTAACCTTAAGTAGAAATGGCTACTTACGTCAAAATTCTGACGAATGATTATGCCATTCGGGACCTCCATTAAATAAAACTTATCAAACATTATCTTTGATTGTACAATTATGAACCTTACGGAATCCAATTTTATACAACAAGAAATCATACGTTGAAGACCTGCAATACTAGAAAAGAAGAAGGACGTAACAGCAGTGACACGTGTTTGACATGTGCACCTCTGTGGAGACCCCACTACACATAATTGTTTTAATCCACGAGCCTTTGCATCTTGAACGGTGATCTCATGTAAAAAAAACAACTGAATCATACTAATGTATGATTCAGTTGGTTCCATGTCCATAACCTTGTTGTCTTCGAGATATATGTTATTTAAATACGGATATTTTCTCTCGAGCTCTGATGTTCACCCATGCATTCCAGAAACTCGTGTACAGTAAAACCTCGTTATTATCACCCCTCATGATTGCGTCCTCGCTGTAATCAAATTTGTTTCCCGGTAAGCAATCCTTTTGGAGTACCTTTACGTTTATGTATATTCACAAAAGTTTCAAAATATCAAAAGAGGAATGAGATTTTCTTGAGATGCTCTGTATTTTTTACTCATTCACCCAAATGAAGAAATTTTTAGAAGAAATTCAAATGTTTCAGTGGCCAGATAAAACCAACGAGTCATATTTTAAACTCCAGGAGTTTGGACTATTTTACAAAAGACTTAACATTGTAAAAGTACATTCTTCTTTGTCCGTCATAAACTCTAGTTTTCAATTGATATGTGAATTAGGTGTTGATTCAATTAGAGAGGAAGCAATGTTGTTCAAATCTTTTGCCAAGAGTAAACCGGGTATAGAGCATGCCTCCACTTCATGAGAATAACATTGAGTTAAAAGCCACAACTCTAAGTTAAAATGGTAAAATCTCTTAGAGAGCTAGTTCATAAATTGTAGTTTTAGCATTAGCATGGGGACCTTCTTTATTCTTAACGGGGTTAAGAATGAAGAAGGTCACCACAGTATACATCCCATTTACTTTATATATATATATATATATATATATATATATATATATAAAGTTTTACAAACTGTTATAAATTTGACTACACATATTTGATCACAACTCGATATAATCGCATCTTATCGATTATGCGACTCCAAGCAGGTATAATACAAGAAAGCTAGTTGTAAGACAATTGAAATTCATTCGAACATGACCTCTAGAATAGGTGTGTCTTCTTTTCTTTTACGTTTCACTTGAATGAATATCTGATGAGCAATTTAATCATATAGAACAAGCAATTGTCTTCATATAGCACTGTGAAGTAACAATCCTTTTGAGAATAAGTGAAATTTTGCACGCAAAAACCAGAAACGATAGGAGAACACTTATTCACAGGCCGGAGTCAGAAAGAGACACCTCACCTCATACTAATTAATTCTTGTATCTACCTAATTTGTTGTCCTCCATCAAATGTAGAGTAAATATAATTGAGTACTTTTTCACATGTTATGGTTGCCAAGGTGCGGGTATATCGGAGGATAATCGTTCGTGGTGACCTGGAGGATAGTGTGAAAGAAAAATATTCTAAGAAAGATATCCCATCTTCCAGATGATAACCTATACGTCTATAGTACCGTACCACTTGCCTTATTTTAAAGTTGAGGGGTTGATAATATTTGTAAGATAGTGACCGCAGCCTCGGGGAATGTTTCAAACCAAGAACGAAAAGTAATGTAGGAATCATCACCTTGTCCTCTTCTGCACCTTGCATCCCATTGAAGGGAATCCCGCCGAAAGAACAAGGGCGAACGTTGAGAAGCCGCTGGTGAAAGCAACCGCCAAGAGTCTCTTTATTTACCATTGAAATTTGCAATACATGTGTTGCTCGTAGAAAAATATTTTCAATTTTACCTCACTAAATTATAAGAATCTAATTTTAAAAATTTATAATTTGAAAATAGATGAAATGATGATTATCACACATGAGATTACATGTCCAAGGTCTACCTTTTTTTTTCCAAAAGATCATCTATAATAAAAAATTGTGCATGTAATTTATTAAGCAAAGCCTTATGAGAAAAATCTGTAAATATTATATTGCCATCACTCCTTTAATTTTATGTCACAAGGATAATTTGAAAGATTGAAAAATTCATGTGTGATACTAAAAATGAGATTTTATATGTCCAGTCTTTTAAAACTTCAAGAATAATAACAAGTTAGTTTTGAAGTTATGTTTATCAGATACATAAAATATATTTTTTATTTATTTTTCAAATTTTTTTATTCAAAAAATATGTAATTCATTATAGATCAGATTTCACACTTATCATCATCCATCCAATTGATTTTGGACTCATCATGTGATAGACAAACAATAAGATAGATTGTAACTTAAATTTTTAATTTTCTTAACATATATTAATCGCAACAATAATCAAATAATTTAAAATTTTATTTCTAATATGTACTTTTAAATTAATGTATTGAGTATATTAAGGCTCAAAATTTGTATGTATCTTATAACTATCTACCTATCTCGCTAATTAAAGATGATTTGACAAGAGTGGTGTTAACAAATAATTATGATAAAAAACATAGAGCTCACTTTCAAATCAACAAAACTTTGTATTGAACAACTTTTGAAACATTCAGTGTGACGCTTTAGCATGGTGGGAAATATGAAAATTCATATAAATTTTAAATTTCATACAAATTGAGCGCATAATAATTTTTTTAAAAAATATTAGTATGCACTCAATTTGTTGATAAACTAGATTTATAATCATACTTTAACGTTGTACGTTTGTCATTTTGACATGTTTTTATAAAAATGAAAGATAAACATTTTAGTCGCTGATTTTTTACCTCCATTATTTATTATGCTATAGATTAAATAAGAACATGGATAGTACATCTGTTGCATTTGTATATATTAAGCCAATACAATACTCTTATTTGTATCTAAATCAAATCTTGAAAATGTGATGCATATACTACTGTAAGTATTCATGCACAATTTTGCTCAAATTTTTTATAAACCTTGTTACGCATAACATGCTCAAAGCAATTATTAACACAAGTTTATTGAATCCATGTTTTGTGTAATACAAAGTTACATAATTCTACACTATGAGTTTTTCACCTATTGAATAAAAAATAAAAATAATTATTATAAATGACATGTTATTATTATAAATCAACGTAGAGAATTATATGTGAATGCTATTTATGTGAATATCAAGTACAACTACAAGTTACGAAATTTGTTACATTTGATTAAATGATCATTATAATAATTTGTTATGAAAACTTGTTATTATATATGGATGATGTATATTAAGATCTAAATTCACTGTGTTAACAAAAAATTGTGAATTCAATAATGTACTTATGTGTATCATCAATCATCATAGCATCAAATTTGCCATATGATGTAAAAATAAGGAATATATATTTATTAATAAGAATATTTTTTTTACTTGAACAACACACTTTTGGGGTAAAATTTTGTTTGACACTAGAACGGTGCATTTGCACAATCGGTTTCAAACAAAATATGAAAAATGATTTTGCATCATCAAAATTTGGAAGAGATATTCAAGCCTGAGATAAATATATCCTCACAGCAATTTTTTTCCAGATCAAGACTAAACGACATGTTTCATATTTAACATAATCAATGTTGAGTTAGATGTCAACAACATATATCGGGATCAATCAAGATTTCATGAATGTTTAATCAAAGAAAAGAAAGTCTTTCGACTTGACAGCTTGTTCAGTTTAAAAAACTAAAAATCCTTGAGTTTTAATTTGCTGATTCAAGATTCATATTCGAAAAATATAAAGTCAAAGTTGTTAGAATAAAAAAAATCTTAGAACAAAAAATACATGAATCAAATACTATTTATCTGTTTGAAATCAATAACATCATTGATTCAGAAAAACTCATAATAAGTTGATGAAATAAAAAATCATCACCTTAACTGATATAATTTCCATCAATGCCATCGTCATTTCAAATAGATTGTGAAACTAATGACAAAATTCATCAAAATCACATTTTAATATACTCTTTCTTTTTTAAAATCTTTCCCAAGGAGACCTAGGGAATTGTAACCTAGTCGACGAATCTATTCTTCCTAGCGCATGATATTCGTTTAGTTTCTTCCTTCGCGATGGTATCTTCCCATACTTCTATTCGGACACCCGTTCCTTGACATTGTAGTTTAAGTCTCTTATTTTCAGGCATTTCGTAAGACTGACGTTTGTTGGGAACTGATTATAGTTTCATACGCCTAGTTTAGGGCTTATTGGGGATGCATAATTTGATGATGGATGTGGACCTTTAGTTTCAAGGAGCCAAGTGGACACAAAAAAGGTTCAGGATTCCGTATCAAACCGTACCAATGAAAACTCAAACGGGAAGCTCGAAAAATATGTTGAGAGAAATAACAATAAACATAAACATAAATAAGTATGTTAAAATAAATAAAATAAACAACAAGACAGCCAGGGTTAGTGAATAATAAGATAAGGCAAGGTATGAAGATTGATGGCAAAAAGTATTGAGCATGGCCTCCCGGGATGGGAATAAAAATAGAGCGGAGTTAATGGAGAAGCATATCCGTGAATCAGGATAGGATACGCAGATTTTCCTTCTCAGAGAAATTCGTCGAGTCAGGAACAGGACCTAAAATGTCGCCCACAGACACACACAGCGCACATGCACATGCACAGAATCACCAGTTTCGTCCGTGGACATCACACCTTGACGCCAGACAGGACTGCTCCTCCGGCGACCGCATTATAAATTAGCTCCGGACGCGAGACTCGACTGCATCGTCGCGCTGTAGGCGGCAAATAATTCATCGCACGACAGGTCACGAAAGGTTTGTCGAGCCCTGTTTGTAGCCCGCCCGGAGCCCGGAGCTGTGACCGACGAGGCGAGGGGGAGAATGATGATGCTGGCGCGGCCGGGCGTCGTCCGTCGTCGTCGTTCGCGGCGGAACTTCTCTCGCATCCGTCCGCGTGCCCGAGCATCGTCTGTCCGGCTAACCGGCCGATTCGGGAGGCGCGCGGGTGGGGCAGGGCGCGGGAGCGGGCGCGGGTGAGGACGACGAAGAAAGAAAAGCCGGGCGCGGGGTCGGGCAGTGGTCAAGTTGTTGTTGATGATGTTGATGCAGTTCTCGTCGTTGCCTCGCCGATTCTTCACGCCCGCAGGTCGATCGTCAGGAGGTCGCGCAGTGGCGGAAATCACATCCCAATTCCGATGCTCCTCAGCGGTGGCTTAGAGCCAAGTGTGACTAGTTCGATGCGCTTAGCGTAGAAGGTTTTTTTTATTACCTTTTCGAACCGAACGATCTGAAGATTTTGCTGAATTTTGAAGGAGGAGAAGAAGAAGGAGGAGGAGGAGAAGAAGAGGAGACGGATTCGACGAATTGAATGCTGTCGATGTGTGCAGCCCTGACTTGCCTTGCTTTGCCTTGCCTTGCCTTGCCTTGCCTTGCCTTGCCTTTGAAGTGCGACGAGCTCTACGGGGTCTGACGTGAGGATTGTTGCGATTCTCGTGTGAATGAGCGGTCGAGGAGGTCTCTTCGTCCCGGGGCGATTTGGGGGAGAGTTGCGGGTCGATTGATTGGTCGATCGTTCGCAGTTGCGGCGGCGGCGGCAGCAGCTGAAGGAAGCGCGTCGTGAGGAGAAGAGAGGGCGGAAAATGGCTTCGGGGAGCTCGAAACATCACGAGGCTGGGAGGATTCAATCGGCATCGAACGGAGGGAGGGACAATGGTGGAACTGGGTTCAGTTTGCAGCAATTGCTGCTCTCGGCTGTCGCGCTGGTGCTCATTCCGTCCATTCTTTTCGCGTTTCACAATTTGAACGCCACGCAGACGGCGTTGCAGTCGCCGTCTGCGATGATGTCCAAGCGATCGGTGGCTCCGGCCACCATCGCCACCGCCGCCGCGAAACTTCAGTTCGCCGTGCAGCTCAGTCCTACTTATGAGAATGTGGACGGCACGGAGTACGTGTGGCAAATTCCATCGTTTTCTGATCCGAGCAAGAAGGTCCGGGGGATCGTGTTCTTCGCGCACGGGTGCTACGGCCGCTCGACCTTCTTCTGGGACACTCACCCCAATTGCGAGAACTGTACCGGGATGCCGGAGGAACGCTTGCTGACGCTCAACAGCTTGTCGAGGGGCTACGCGGTGATTGCCGTGTCGAGCACAGCTGAATGCTGGAAAGCTTCAGTTGATGTGCCGAAGGTCGTCACGGTGCTGAAGAGCTGGACAGCTCGCTACAGGCTGGAGCACCTGCCGGTTGTGGCTCTGGGAGCCTCGTCAGGGGGATACTTCGTCTCGATTCTCGCCGCGCAGTATAAATTCCAGTCGCTGGTGATACAAATTTCCTACCTCGGCAAGGTCGATGGAATGGTGATCGATTCCACATACCCTCCAACGCTGTTCGTCTACATGCCGAAGGATACGAGGCTCGCTCTCCGAATCAAGGATTCCAGGAATCTCCTGCGGAGCAAAGGAGTCGAGACCGACGAGGTTTTGTGCACCGAGCTCAAAGTGACCCCTCACTTTTTCTCTAACAAGATTCCAGCCATCAACGACGATGTTTCCGAGAAACTCGTCGCAGTGTTCAAGGATTACGGTCTGCTGAACCATGCTGGATACATGAAGCTGGACGGTAGATCGAGCGGGTGGATAGGGCCCGTGAGGAAGAGGAACGTCTTACCGTTCGCTATGCGGAGAAAATTGGAGCGGCACCTGGAGGAGGAGTTGAATCTGGCCTACGCGTTCCATGAAATGACCAGCGTGCCCGCCGAAGCAATTTTGGACTGGTTTGACGCTCACAGCCATACCTCGAGCTTGATCGAGAGCAGCTGAGTGTACGTGCAGTGATTGCTCCTCGGACGAGGCCGCACCCGTTTGAACAATGTGAGCTAAGTTCCTAAACTCACTACAGGTTGTGCTGTTATAAACTGCATGTAAATATAGAACGTGAAGTTTGATTGAGAGAGATCAAGAGGAGGGTGCATGCATGCTCGCGCGCTGCGAAGCATCAGAAGCATGGAATTTCTCATGCTGAGTTACGACCGTATGATCACTATCACATCGATATAGCCTGTTTGTAACTATACGTCGAAGACATTATCTTCAATCTGTACATAGAGGATGTCTGGTCTGAACTGCCCAGCAACAGGTTATCACGCATGTCGTAGGGTTTCATTCAGCTGTTGTCGTTTTAGTTGAAGTTTTGAGTTGACAGTACTACTTCCTTGGGTTTGCACATTTAGCCTTGCCCTCTTTCATCGTGCTGGACCTACATATGTCAGTGGCTTGGGGCACTTCAAGGCCATCCGAGGTCGTGTAACTTTTAATGTTTCCAAATGAAGGCCGATCTTTCGCTTGTCTCCAAGTGTGCCATAGTTGGCAAGAGCCGAGTACAGTTATGTAATTTGGTGCCATGTGAATGATACTTCAATTGAAATCTGAGTACCGGCTCTCTTTAGCTCTCAGTTGTTGTCTACCCCTGTTCCAGTGGAAAATGCTTTGAAACGTTCGAAATTGGTTCACAAGGCATGCGCGAGGTAGTCCGAAGGCACCACGATGAATGAGACGCACATGTTTCTTAACAGATGTTTTAATAGATGCAATTTGCCCTCAGCTTCGCAAATTATTCCTGGTATACCATGCACGTTGATCTCGTGACTTGCACGGTCACGCACACAAAGACAGAGCATCCTGGTAGCTTACCTTTTGTACCTGGTACATTTCTTGAATATCTCGGATGAAACAAAGGCTATTTGATGTTGTACATATCATTGCGGTGATATTACCTACGAGGTTTAACTGCTTAGATGTGTACGAGAATCGATTTTACATAAAAGATAGAGTATTCACATTGTTTGCACTGATGAGTTTCATTCATTTTTCGGTACAATCTCACTTTCGACAATAACTTTATTGTTAACTACAAATGTTAACTTTTCGACAATAACCCAAATTGGCATCTGCTCGCTTGAAAATTCTGGTCACATAATAACCGCTACTTCGTGTAGGACTCTTCAATATCTATAAAAGTTACGTTTCTTTCGTTGACAAGTACAGTGTGCAGTACTCTACTCTCCGCAAGTTGTATCGAATAGACGATATAAAGTAAACGGTAATTTCTGGTTTAGACAATAAGAGCGGAACCGTCGAGGACTATACAAGTGGGGATCAAGACGTTTTGATGCAAGAGCCGCTGGCAATTCAGTGTATGAGAGAGCGTGTGGGCACACAGCTATATATATCATACATACAGCGTTAGTTGCAACCGCTGAATCAAACCCATGGGCGCTGACCATCATAATTTTCAGTAATCTGAAAGTCAATCATTCCAAAACCGAGGAAATTGATGAAAATTGATAAATGTTGATAATTGAAAGTGGAAGCGATGACCGTTCAATCAGGTCTGTATGATATACACTCAGTGATCCCGAGAAACTAATGCTTATCACTTCTCCTTTTGTAAGATACGCCACATCTTCATATGTACAGAATGAGGTAAGTGCTGGAAGAAGCTTCTGTCGGTAAGACATAGGGTGAGTCCAATTTAGAAGAAGGTCCTACGTAGATATATAGATTGAATCGGTCACTTCGGGACCACCACAATTGTCCGTCATCTGGGGGCAATGAACTTAATGTTCCCTGTCTCAAATACAAATGTAACGATGCAGCGACCTTGCACGGCCTGAGCCAATCAACACAAAAATTGTAATGCTTTGCCGCAGCTTGAATGAGTCATCTCATACCCTTAGCTCGACTTGATTGACAACTCTTCCATTTGGATGACCTTAACTTCGTCAACCTTTTTATGACTTTGATATGACATGTACGTGTTCCAGGCAAGGGCTATTACATTCGCAAATGCCACCTGCAAGATCATCCAGAAGCGAGATGCTCAGGTTGCGTCGGTCGACGATTTGAGTTAGAAAAATCTCTCATAACCAATACTCCAGACGGAAGCCAATCCATTTGAGGAACATCGGAAGCCTCATTTAAAGACGTGGCCACGACAGCAAGCATGAAGCAAACTAGGACTGTAAATGCATTTCTTCAGGGTGTTTTTTAGACTTAAATCGATATCAAATGATTGAACTGACTCCTCGAACCTACTCTTCCTAGTTCAGTGTGAGTCTAGTATGCACGAATAATTAGCATGAGAGAACTGCAGTGGTCTGCAGGACTGCAAATTTAACGACGAGAACTTCAGACGTGTTTCGAAGATAGTTACCTGTAGTTTTTGAGGTACAAACATGAAGTTGATGGTCTGAGCTGGAATCCAGAGTTTCCAGTTCATCAAAACAGCTGGCCACAAGTCCTGTCGTGGCGAGACAACCGGACTCAGGTGTTAATCCCACATCAAACACATGACTCAATCTAGAACATCATAGACAGAAAATGGAGAAAAAATCTTGCAGAAAATCAAACTTTTGGAAGCCAAGTTGCATGATAGTAGAGTGCCTCGACGATGCAATTTGCACAACGACGAGCAGACTGTGAGCTTAGAGTGTAACCTGTTTCAGCTTTGCTGTAATCTGACTTGCATTCCCTTCCAATGTCATCAAAGTACTGATGAAAACTGCAATAAAAGCGGGAGAGAAGACAAACTGCAAAAAGAACGACGAATTTTCAGCTCGATGTTTCGATTTCTCCGGCCATCATTACAACAAGTACTCTTCGTATATTTCGCATCATACACATAGAAACACATAATCCTCGAGGCATGATCCCAGATACGGTTGATTCCACGTGTCCACTAGAGCTGACTCTGACTTCGAAATATGTACACAGCTTGAAGAGGAGGAGAAGCAGTGATGTTCTAGTTTATAATGTTGTAAGAAGATCGTGGCACACATTATTAAGGTAAGAAAACATTCCAGGGACGCACCTGATCAAGTGCGAGTCGCACACCCACACCGACGGTTCCACCGACGGTGACAAATTTGTGGAGTGCAAGGTACCTGTCAAAGGCACGTACGTAACAAGGGCCAAAGTTACATTTTGTGTGTATCACAAATAAACGTTCGAATGAGTGAATTCTGAATACTTTGGCCTGATCGCAGTTCCATGGACGCATTTATGTTAGAGCTTATGGATGATCAGTGTAGGAGTCAGATCACATCTGCTTTTGTCAACCACGAGGCTCACCAGAAATGCAAAGTAGGCCCGGTCAAGCAAAAACCGAGTGAAGTCATAGTGCAGATACGCCTTATGTCAAGTTTCTCAGCGTTCTCCACGGCGAACTGAACAAATCAAACCTTTGAGTTATCAACAGCAAGGCTTCGCTTTATGGAATACGAAGCGTTCAGAATGTCTCTCCCGACCTGTTGCCAAGACGGTACGAGAGGCAGGAGCAACTGGCAATCCAAATAAAAAGAGAGCTTCATCCCGTGCACAACAGACCTTCAATGGGCAGTACTTGCGTAACTCGAAAATCTACGCAGAGGTTCAAAATTTGCAGTGCAAGTGCATTCACCTGGCAGAACATATCTCCGAAGAAGGTCAAGATGGCTGACGTGAGAGCCTTGGTAAATATTGGACGTGCGTCAAGGCAACCCATGTACCTGAAGTCGATACAATTTTGGTATCAGAAAAATTACAGCAAACGCGTGAACAGGCACCACAGACCCGCAGGTGCAGATTCTGTCGGGCTGTATATCTAAATTCTGCGGCATGAGGGATGTGAGAATAAAATGTGGCGGAAGAAATGTACAACAGAATTCAACAGCTGCTGAATGTCCAGAACCTAGAAATAAACGGAGCTCCCGTTCATACCAAAGCCAGAATGCCCACAATCGCGAGGATTTCCCCGAATCTCCAGCGCCCCCAGCTCCACCTTGTCCACCATCGCCTCCACTCCCACCTTCTCCTCCCTGCTTTCCCCCGCCACCGCTTCCCCCATCGACACTCGCAGTTGCGTATCTAGCTGAAGTTATGGCAGATGGGGAGCCGCGTGCAGTCGGGACTCGGAGAGAGTGTCCAGCGGCCTCGGAAGAAACAAGCCTCCATGTTCTCGACAGCGAGTCTCTCTGGCTCCGAATCTCATCTCTCGGTACACCCCGTGCCTGGCACAGAGCAAATGAAGCCGGCACGACTCGTGCTGAAGGAGCTGCAGCTGCAGGAGTCAGCGTGGAGAATCCACACTGCTTCCGTAAGGCAATCCCAGGACTCTGCAAACTGTGGAACTGCCTCATTAGTAATGATTGGGCTCGCAACATTTTGCTATTTACTTGGAAACTTGCCACCCCTGACACAGCAGCGCAAGTCTAATCGCAGGCAGTCCCAGATCGCTCTGTCTGGCGATGAGAAGGACTTGACAATGGACCAATTCCACACCGATATGGTCCCCGGGTTTAGGGTTTTAGCCTCTGTAGTATAAAGCCACTCAATTCTACTCGCTAATTCAATACCTGGAATGCCCTCACATGGTCAACACCCCCACCCAACAATCTGGGTCTGGATAGGACCCACCCTCCCCACCCCTCTTCTCTCCACTCCACTCCACTCCACTCCACTCCACTTCACTTCCTAACCAATTCAATCATCACGTGTCCTGCCTCATTCTCTCCACCAAGCGGGAGCATCATATAACCTCGTACCAGGCCCTCGTCCCCCACTGTACCAACACTCCAAGTTGTCGTCATGTAACGGACGCCTGCGAGGACGTATCTCTGTCTTTAGCAGTCACATGTTGCGGTGCGCGGTTCCCCTGCTGGGATTGGCTGCTGGAGTTCCAGATTGGGACCACAGAGGGCTCACCCGTACATGAGAAGTGGGTTGTTACGAAGCTCATACGGTTTCGTCGCTATGAGGTGCTTGTGCTTTGCGTAGGGGCATTTTGGAGGTTTGATCGAGTCTCGGATGGATGTTCTCAAGAGGCTGTGAGTGTCTGTGTTCGATTGTTTCGGTTTGGGTGATGTAAGTACGAGTGATCCCAGCTGGTGGGATCTGAAGAGGACGCTTCGAGGGGTGAACTGGTTGACGCTTGACGCTTGACGCCTGTGTGTTACCAAGGTGCAGATGTTTGGACTTCATTCATTTCTTCAATTTTAGATGGTCCGAGTGTCTCTTTGAGTTCCACAGCAATGTGTGCAAAGATTCTCTGTCCTGAGCACGTGTAATTTTGAAGGCAACCAGCAAACTGTGAGCCCACGATCGGGAAAATGGCTTCCTCCACCAAAACACTGCCAAAGCCTTCCTGTGCAAACTCCTCCGACACTTTACATTCAGATTGTAGAGTACAAAGAATTTTGTGATCTGTCCCAGAGGTAAGACTGACGTTGACAGACGATCCATCCAAAGGTCAACTCCATGGCACTCTGGCTCAGCTGGGACAAGGCATCGCTTACAGTTGGATAACACTTTTTGCAATCTTGTGCCGCATTTTCTGATGAGATGCGTGCGAATCTGGGAAAAGTTGTTGCAGTGGGTGAGCAGGCGATGTGCCAATCTGGGTCACGCGCAGCAAGTGCCACGACTCCAGGAATCCAGGTGAAAGGGCATTTCGATATCTGCCGTAAGAACAGGAAAGCTTTTGGTCCCCAGCGCATTATCGCAAGTACGTCAATCTCCCATTCCTCGGGGAAGAGTTAAGGAAGTACTGCACAGCACGACTCAGCTGTAGAATGAATGCGTCGAGAGGATTCTAATCATTCTCTAAGACACACCAAAATCTAGCCCAACACTCTCCACGATCAGAATATCTGCTACTGCTGTGTTGGAGTGATACGCTGCTAACACAGGATCTGAGCTCCGAGAGAGCAAGTTCACAAGGGCCACACACAGCGAGCGCAAGCTATAATCCCCAGTGCACAACCACCGCCCACCAAATGCACCGATCCTGTAGACTGCACAACCCCGACAAGATGATTCCGCCATCAGAGTCAGGCACTGGACTTCAAAATAGCTGCAGCATGTCTTCTATCTCTATGAGTCAACGCAGTGCTTTGCACCGATCATGAATGGAAGATGTTTCCACTGCCCACTGTAAGACAGCAGTCACTTCCTAATTGAGCGTCGGCTTTGGAAGGAGTGCTGCTGGCAGTATTCAGCGGCGTATGTGAGGTGAAAGAGAGCGCCTTCCGACATTGTCACTAAGAGGAGAGATCGGACGTGCTTGCAAGTGTCACTCAATCCGAATCGAAGGTCAGCACCATTCTATAAGCATCTCGTTGGGGCGCGTAGTAGGAATGGACGAGAGTCTCCACTTCAAAGCCCAGCTTTTTGTAAAGAGAAAAAGCAGGCTCCCGCAGTGGGTCGACATGAAGACTGACGCACATCACTTTCCTCGACCGAACTTTCTCTATAGCCGCTCTCAGCAGAGTTTCGCCATAGCCTTGCCGACGGCAATTCTCTCGCACTAGCACACAATCAATTCGAGCTTCAGTCCCAAACCCCAAACCCCAATCACCGCTTCAACCAAAGTCACACATGATTGGCTCACAAAAGCTCTTCTTTCTATTTGTACAGACGATTTCCTACGGCAAATTCACAGGACATATGCACGCACGGGTGTGCCATTTTAAGAGACAGCTGCATGGAGGACAGGGTTAGCAGTACCCTCTGTTCAGATTCATACCTGCAAGTTTGGTGATGATAGCCATAAGGGAGGTGCACGAGTACATCAGATAGCCTGCTACTCCCCGTCCTCTACCTTCCGAAGAGTCGCCAGATCCAGCGGTGTCCTCCATGACGTACAGCACACCACCATTGCGGCGCTGAATCTCTTGACTAAAGCTCTCCGCTAACGATTCATGCTTTGGGAAAATTCTCTTCTCTAGCCTCATCAGCTCAGCCACTAATGCTTCATCCCTGTTCTTCTTCCCAACCTCCAGCGTTCTTACTGTTCTGCTCGTCTCCATCGCCTCCGATAAATCTCTACTCGACAACATTTCCATCGACTACCGTCGACGCTCGGGGACCCTAATTAAGAAATCTCTCATTCCGTCCCCAAAATGCGACACTCCACAAGGAAAAACTTTCTGAGAATCTATCTCCTTTCCTGCCAGCAGCCTGATGAGGATTCCGCAGCATAGACTCCGATCTCTGTCGAAATGACTTGCACAAATTCCGTCGCAGAGGTTTCCAAAATGTTTCAGTAGCGCGTGCTCCTCGATTACGGACGCCCTTCAGGAGAGATTGAACTAGCGACGAGGGATTTGCTTCCGACCTCTTAGATCAAGTGGGACCCACACATTGTGCCGCCGGTTGTTGACTCATGTGACATCCGGGCTCCTGAAGTCAAAGACAGTCGGCCCGAGAAGAGGGCCCGGTCCGCCCATTCCAAACACAAGATCACAATCGGGATACAAATCCATGTGATCGCGAACATCGTGGCCCTCATCTCTCATCTCCGAGGTCTGAGCACAGAGAGCTTCCTGCAGAGTCACGAGCTGCATTCGTTCCCCTCGCGTCCATACGATCGAGAAGGGGGACGAAGGCTCGCTGGGCAGTCAGTCCGCTTCTCCCTCGGAGTTCCCCGTGGAGAAAGTAGTCGATGAGTTGCGGGAAGCTGGTCTCTCGTTACCCTTCTTCTGCACGTGACTGAACCGGATACTACCGGTTTATATTAGCTTGAGGAACCGTCTCGAGTCGTAACACGAATCTGAATGAGTAACTTCTTAGAGGGAAAGGATAGTATAAGAACGGTGATACACCATACACATTTTAAACTTGGGGCTTTGAATCAAAGTAGTGTCGAGATCACAATATTGTTATTGAACATATTGTAATACATTTTTTATTCTAACTATTGTATATGATACTTCACTTGAGAATTTTTGTATCACAACAATTATTACATAAGTTCTGACATATATGACTACTATATTAAAGCTATTCAATCATATAACAATTAAATAAAAATTTCATATGATGTTGCCAATTTTCAACGTGTATCTTATGATATTGTTCACTAGAAACAAAAAACTATGGATCTTTTACATCTCACTAGGTAAGTATAAAAATGGACAAGTATATGACATAAGAAATGTAAATCCTCATCGCATATTGGGATGCCAATGATAGACAATGAGAAACATATTATTTTAATTTCTAGATAAAATTTATTATAATTGAAAATCATATAATATGTGTATAATCTAATATGAGTATATTTTAAATATGATTCGGCCAATGCTCTTTCTAACATAAAATTAAACGATATTATAGACTAGAAAAAAATGTAATCATGTTACAAAATTTTATTTATATTATTTTATAAAATTTAGATCATAAATATGTACACAAGAAGTTCATCATATACATATTCATCAAGTAATTCTTACTAGCGAACAGATCACACCAAACAACCGTCTGTTCAAAAGAGACAAACAGTGTTTTCGGAAACTATATGTTATCAAGTACCAACTAATTGGCAAAAACAAAAGGACCCACCAAATTCAGAGTTAATCTCAATTGTATAAAAGTTTATAAAACATAATATAAAAAACATATTTACTATATTATATGATTTATAGAAAACTTAAAATAGTAAATAAACCTACTATACCATAGATTTTTGATCTATACATATAACACTCTTTAATAAGACTACTTTGCAAATATTAAACATGTTTTTTGAAAAGAAATGGAAACTCTACGAGCTTCTACACCGAATTTGGATGCATCCCACTTCGTGCTGTTTGTTCAACTGCTTTCCGTATTTATTTTCCCTCGACGTGTAATCGTTGCTAAAGCGCGTCCAAAAGCGCAAACCTTTTTCGGGCATTTACTGTTAAGATTGCAGATGAGAAAGTTTGCTGATTTTAGGCTTGATTTCTTTGGTTGAGATTCCTCGTTTTTTGTTTCTCACTAAAGAAGAAAGTGTATACATGAGTTGAAAATATCACCATAGATAGAGATCATAACTCTCACACAGTATCTTGTAACAAGTGGATATCATTTAGTGCATGATTGAAATCAATCCATGGATATTCAATACACAGTCAGTCCACAATAATCCAATAAATGCTGGCATGTAGCTTGCATCTCTCACAATAAAGATATCTTTGATTACCTTGGGTTGGATTTTAAAAATATCACTGTTATCAGACTATTATGTGATATAGTTTAATGAAACATACCTCACAATCACACACACATGTCATTGCACTCTACTGCAATTTTTCTAATAACATGAGCTAAAGGAAAATGGTGATCACTCCATGCTTATTGAACAAGGAGTCTACTCCTTTGAAGAATCCCAAACAATATATGTAGTACATAAGAGTGACAACATACCAGCACAAAACCAGGAGAACAATGCCATGTGTACTTCATGTGACAACATATGACAAGAAACAAATTTTCACTCCAAGTAATATGTAGCAAGTGCTATGTTGTAAGTACAGATGTGTTTTATTTAATGTGCATTAAAAGATTGCAACGAGGCTTGGCATAAATAGTAATGTAACACAAATAATGTAACAAAAAATATAATCAAATGTGTACATTTTTAAACTTCGATATCAGATATATGCATGGGATAAAATATCATAAATTAAGATCTAATTGATATGTAATATATCAAATATCAATTTCCAATATAAAAGAAAAATATCACTATAGATATTTTTCCCTGATATGAAATTTTCACAAATATTGTCGCAGAATCCATTTCAAATGGAGTGGATTAAATTTCCCATTCCATATGGAAATGGATTCTGAAACTGTCTTTATGAAAATAGAGTTGCAGTAACATTTGAATAATCTTGTTGAGATAAAAACTACTTCAACCCTCAACACATTTCCAAATGCAATCTTTCTATTTTAGGTATTGCTTCATACTCTTATACATAAGAAACCCGCGCAATTTAAAATTTCGACAGTGATTTCAACTAAAGATCTAATCCTAGCATAGCATGATCAAATAAAATTAACAGGTTCGTTCTCAATGATCCATTAATATACACTAGTGCTCCTTTCATTCACGAGAATATATTAGACGATATTCTCGAGAATGAGATATGCAAGAGATGTAATCTCTCTCGGCACACGAGATCGATAGATGTGCCACAGAATATATTAGACGATATTCTCGAGAATGAGATATGCAAGAGATGTAATCTCTCTCGGCACACGAGATCGATAGATGTGCCACAGAATATATTAGACGATATTCTCGAGAATGAGATATGCAAGAGATGTAATCTCTCTCGGCACACGAGATCGATAGATGTGCCACAGAACAGAGAGATTTCACGTACCCAGGTTTTATCCTAACCCATCCCCCTCCAAACTCGGGTTCAGAGTTTCTCGAGTCCGGCCAGTCTTGGGGTGGGTCAGAGAACTGCAACAATGGGCTCAGTTTCGGTCCCCGTCCATTTCTTTTGGTCTCGCCATGTGACGGAGGGACCTCCGGGACATTATAAAATCCGCCAGATGAAAACTGCGGAAGGAGCTTCCACCAGCTGGACGCGTCCGGAGCGTCTGGACGACGCTCCAGACGCACGCACGCTCGCTCGGTCGGCCGTTGTGCAGCCGGTGGAAAGCGGACCGACATCCTTTTGAACCCATTTGTCGTTAGCGAGCGCAGGGCAGTCGCTCTTCGGGCGACCGAAGGACGCAGTTCGAACTCGAATCTTCAAACTCGTCTCTAACGGAAGGACGCGTCGACAATCTTGATCTTGATCTTGCTTCCTTCCGTTCAAAATGTTCTCCGTCCGGACGCTGCTCACGAACTGCACTGGAGTCCGTCCGTCATTCATCCCGTCCGTCCGTCCGTCCTGGGCAACGTGCTTCAGCGCTCTTTGCCTATATATCTCTCTCTTTATTCTGTCTCTCTCTCGTTTGGCCGGGCGACTGGTGGCGATGGAGTCCGAAACGGCCATATCGAGCGGGAAGAGCGTGGTCGAGACAAGGTTCGCTGCTTTTGGCATTATGCTGGAGGTCGAATCTTCCGAGATTCCGCGTGCGCGGAGCTTCGAAGCGGTCGGTCTTCTTCTTCCGCTTCCAGAGAGAGAGAGGCCCTCGCGCTCGATCGCTCGCTCCTCGAGGACGTGCGGCGCGCGGATGCGTCGTCGCCATGGCACCGCACGGGCGAGAATATGCCCGCGACACGCTTTTTCTCCTCCTCGCTCGTCTCCATCGCCGCCTCGAGGTCGATGCTCGAATCGAAAAATTCCGAATTCCCGAGAATGAGAAGAGCTGAATCGAACCTCTTCGTCTGCAACCTCCGCGCGCTCAAGAAGCGCGGTCGAGCGCTCGAGTGTTCATTCTCCCAATCTCTCATTTTCTCGATCTCTCGGTGGTGCTTCTTCTCTGCTCTTCTCGTCGCCGTCTTGAGCCAGCTCTGGCCGGAGATTCCATAGCTGGGCATCGATCGTCGCATCGAAGGCCGGGAGGAGAGGCGACTGTGACTTCGCCGCGGGTGCGTCGTCGTCCAAATCTTGGGTTCGGAAGTGGGGGCCATCGCTGTGCATTTATGATTCATTTCTGTGTCTCGCCCGGCGCTGCGTCCATGGCCTTGATTCAACTTTAGTTCCACCTGGCAGGCACGTCGCTGCATGGCCTGAGCGGGGGCGAGATGAGGCGCGATCGAGGGCGAAGGCTTAGCCAGCAAGATCCACAACGAAAAGCGTGGGACCCACGCGCGCAATTATCTGGCAAGCGGGCTCTATAAGCGGGCGGAATGCCAAATCGACGTCGTTGCTGCCAGTCATGAGCAGACGGGAGGGCAAAGATCCCTGTGCTCAGAAGCAGATGTGCGAGCACCGAACCATAGCCGGGATGGACGACGCCCCGCTAGTTTGTCGGATTGGACCGGTCGCGGCAATTCTCTCGGCCAAGACTTATCCTGACCTGCGCTCGTGCTGCTCGGCGAAGTCGGGAATTTGAATCTGGAACTGCGGAAGGCCTCAACCAAAGGCAGCGTTGCGTGCCTTCCTTCGCTTGGTTCGGGTCGGCCGACGGGGATGGAATGCCAAGGCAGTGGGCGCGGGCGGGCGGGCTGACTGGCCGACCGACCGACCTCTCATGGTAGGGTTGGTTCGTTACGGGGTTCGATAGTAGCTAGCGGAAGAAAGCAATGTTTGGTTGTCCCTCCCGGCAGGAGCTACGCACGCCCTATCGGTGGTACAATTTTATATCCGGGTGAAATGTCTCCGTGACACGGTGACAGCTGCTGCAACGGGGTGGAAAGCCGAACGGGGTTGTAGTTGTTGTTTTCCGCTGCGTAGCGTTGCGTCTGGTTCTGGGGAAGGAGATCGACGAAGAAGACGTAAGGGGAACAACCAGGATTTGATTCTCTTTAATCGAGGGGCGGGCCTCGAAGCAGGTCGAGAGAATAGCAGGCTGGCTGTAAGGAACAGATGAGATGAGATGGGATGAGATGTTTGAAGATCTTCGGGATTGCCGCTTCTGCCTGTGTGTGGATGTCTGACCTGACACCAGAAAAGACGGGGCGAGTTTCGTATCTTTTTTTTCTGTCGACTTGTCTTGGTGCAAATTGCTGAGGTACGTGCGTGTAAGCTATTATCTTTTATGGAGCATCTCATGTCGTTCCGAGGGCAATTGAAGGACCAAAATTGCTTTCGGCACTTTCACAGTCGTGCGTTACACACCTTTGTGTGTTGCACTCGTATCGCTCGCTCTTGATTCCTTCAGTCCATGTGGGTCGTATGAAAATATTTCTTTGGGCTTCGTTATTCCTCAGAAAGCTTTGTTTTGTTGGCAGGAATGACGAGGGTATGGACTGTGTTGCTGTTGTGCTTGACCATGTTTGGTAGTCCTAGAAGAGATGTTTGCCGTTTCTAAGTTACAACATCAACCGACAATCCCTTTGACTTCTAATTGTTTCTGCCACTCTACTGTTTGTATGAATTACGTCTGAACCTGATGTTCATCTTTACCAATTTTGGGTCCCGTCTCTCTTCTCAGTTCCTCTTTTCCGGGAGACTAGTCGATTAATACGGGTCGCCGAGCGCCTGCCAATACGATGTACTTTTTCACGCTCAGTTGAGTGTTAGCAAAGAAAGTACCTCTTAGCGTGATGCCCCTTCATATGACTAGCCGTTCATATGGTAGAAAACAGATCTGGCTTGTGGCTTGGATCTCATGAGCCTTGGTGACCTGGTGAGATCAGGTTACGATAGGAATTGAATTGCTTTGCAGAGAAACTAGTCCTTTTTCCGGTTTCGTGTATGTCAGTCATATGTCAGTCATGTGAGTGCCCTCAAGGACTGTAGATTTTGCTCTGCGTAGGATACGCAGCAGAAGATTTCAAGCGGAAGCAGTTTAGTAATCTTTATCGAACTTTGCTTCATCTGTAACTGCACATTTTGAATTCCAACCCCCTCTCTCAGACTGTGTGGACAAGCGCAACCTCGAGACTCCTTAGACTTCGTGTATGAGTGAGTGAGAATGTTTGCACACTATCATAGTTCAACAGCTTTTGTCGAATTCATTTTTTTCACCTCCGCTCTCTGTAATGTTTACGAATGGGCTCCTTTGTCATGTTGTTGACTGCTCTTGGCAAACGAAAGAGCATATGAACATACCACTATCGTTCATATAGAGTGCATCGCTCATTCGGGGCACAACCAGCCCCATCATCCGTATTATTGTTTCTGGTCTTCGTAATCTCCTGTCCTTCAACAATTGGTTGTCATCCTTTGCATTGGCTTGCTGATCACACTGATCTCCACCCTCTCGAAGTGCATTGCCGTCTCTAGAAAGATTTCGGCAATTGTGTCTAAATGCCGTCGATCCGTTTCAGTAGCAAGGCCTGAAATATATGTCCAGCTTCTTGCACCCTTCTGTCTTCCATGTTTCTGGAATCTCGAAGGCATAAAATTTACGTTTCTTCGTTGACAGGTGAGCCGATCCCATCGTAAAGGAAAGATGAAGTTAATCGCGAACGATGTCGTCGAGGACAGTATCACAGAGGAGGAGAAGGTAAAAGGAGACGGTTCATCTGTTACTGCGAATCTCCCATCGTTGCTAGAAGGGCTGCCAGACTCGGTTGCGCTGCAATGTCTGGCCCGAGTACCTTTGCACTATCATCCGACCTTGCAGGCAGTCTCTCGATCTTGGCGGTTGGCGGTCCATAGCTCTGAGCTGTTCCGCACCCGAAAGCTTGCAGGGATTGGGGAGGAGTGGCTCTATGTAAGTGCCTATGACCCGGATGGATTGTGGCAAGCTTATGATCCCCTTTCGGACAGCTGGACAACTTTGCCATTGTTACCCTCCCGCATCAAGCACCTGACAAATTTTGGAACAGCAGCGGTGGATGGTAAGCTGTACGTGATTGGTGGTGGAAGTGACGATGTGGATTCACAAACTGGAGACCACAACGCCACGACAGCCACAAGTGAAGTCTGGAGATATGATCCAGTTACGCGGAAATGGGAGCAGAGAGCTAGTATGTTGACAGCCAGGTCTCAGTTTGCATGTTGTGTTTTGGGTGACCAAATAGTAGTTGCCGGAGGCTTTACCAACACCAGGAAATCACTAGCTTCATCGGAGATATATAATCCGGTGGAAAACTTGTGGGAGCCTATGGCGGAACTTAGCTTGGTTCACAACGCCGCTTGCTCAGGAGTGGTGCTTGAGGGCAAAGTTCATGTGGTACACAAGGGTTACGGTCTTCCCCAAGTGTACGATGCCAAGGAGAACAAGTGAGGATTTCTAAACTTGCCATAACTTATTTGCAGACTGTTAACTAGAACACCATGTGTTATGCAGGACTCGTTAAAGTAACTCGCTAACTCCATTGGTTTAAGATTTGTACCCACTGTGGACACAATGCATTCAGTCTATATCTGTGCTGTAGAATAGATAGATGATTTTCAGACTTTATTTTCGTCTGACGCGTCCAACGACGAAAATGTGGAATGTACTTTCTGTTGAGTGACAGTGCGAGGCAAATCTTCTAATGTCACTTGACTTTATGTGTATCTCGTGCAGGTGGACAAGATCTGATTGTGAATGGTCGTGGGGCAAGATGGCTGTAGTGAACCAAGAATTGTATGTTGTGCGCCACGGGTTTGTGACCAGGGAGCAAAAGCAACCACCTCTCAGGAAATTACTTTGTTCATGGCCCGACTGTTTGGACCGAATCAGTTTCGGAGTAATAGGTCTTGGGACCGACCTTTATGTGATTGGAGGGATCATGGCACCACGACCACATGCGTTAGATATTGTTTCGCTTTATGATGTTGACATTTGTAATGTAGGTGATGAGAGCCCCAACTGGCGCAAAGGTGCCAGTATGACGGTATCCCGCGGTACTGTTCTTGGTTGTGCTGTACTCAAACTCTGATCAGCCACCTTCGGCACGGGCTGATTCTCTGGCCGAGATGTACAACATTTTTCATACTTTTCGCTCTTTCTGTAGATCGCGAATGAAGGGAAAGAGAAAAGAAGAAGGAGCAAGAAGAAAGGGTTGTATATTGGTATAATTGTCATCTACTTGCTCAATATCGAGCTGTGTAGTGTGATCTTTGTTTAGCCGTCACACCAACCATCTCCACAATTTGGTGTGATCGTCGCCAAAGATGGAAGGAGGTATTGCTTTAGCTGCTGAACGCGTTTCTGTTATGTACCCGCATTTGAAGAAGAGATTGAGCAAGACAGACAACACCCACACACCTTTGTTCTGCAAACTCTCAGAACATAGGGTAGTCATTGGCAGAAGCTAGCCAGGAGCTTATCCTACCTTCTGAGGGCATACAAATGCTAGACCTATTAATGCAGTAGGAAGAGTTATCAACTTGATTAAAATGAAAGGATATGGTTGGCTCGAGATCCTTGATGGTTTAACAACTGCTTCTGAGGTTTTCCAACATGGGTTTTCAAGTATAGCAGTTTGCCCAGGGTGTTGATTGTCATGGAAAACAAGACTTGACTGCCGAGTCTACATTGCAGGAACGAATAACGCTGTGGCTCCATGTCTTTCTTAAGCAAGCTTCTATGAAATGACTGTCTTGACTGCTCTCAGACCTCGACCGCCCTTGCGCGTCTGGTTACCAGCAAGTGATTGCCGATTGCATTTCGCAGCTCTCAAACTGGCTGGTCAATGCAGCTTGTCATGAATCAATTTCCAGTGTTCAGATTGCTAAAAATCAATGCAGTAAGATCAATCCCTAGCTAGTGCCAAGAGCACTAGCACTATCATCATCGCTTTCACCACAAACTATTAGGAACAATCCGCAGTCTTGCATTTCTCCTAGTTCTGTTTTGGAAGACGGGAAGGAACACTGAAATCACTGAGATCAAGAGCGCTATATGGCTGAGACCTTATAGTTAAATGCAGTTTCTATTGATTGCATGGTGTACGTGGTTCTTTGAGTTTGTATAGAGAACGTCAGCACATCGGAACTTAGAGAATTCTGGCTCTACGGGAATCGGCTTAATCTTCTCTTGTTATCGGATACAAGGTGGGTATATCCTTCTCTTTTGACATGGATCATAAGAAATCCGATTTTTCCAACGATTGAATTGTTACCATCTCTCTTAAATATCTACAAATTTTGTTTGAGTAGGGTCGTATGTGTGAAGATACCATCATTCGGGGAATGTGGGAGTAATCTTATGTTTATTCAATACTTGTTTTATCCACTTCCATGTCTCATAGGATGTTTTAAGTCTTTTCTCTACGGAGAATTATGAATAAAACTGTTTTGGGAATACTTCTTCTATCTCACGAAAAGTTCTGCTGAATACAAACGTGCACATCTAAAACCTAAACCCACCCTAAACCCTAAACCCTCTTCCTTCAGCTGATTTATCTCGGCATCCTTGCTTTCTACACTTCCCTGCACACGCTTCAGCTCATCAACAACTCCTTTTGACTGTTCACATAGTTCTCTGAACTTGTTAAGAGTTGTAGTTAGCTTGTTCACGGCTTTTGTACTAGAAGCTTCCAAAGCTTTCAAAGCAGACTGTTTCTGCTGAAGGACCTCCTCTGGACTTGTTTGGAGAGTTCTTCAGCTTGCTATGGAACCCCATTCAATTTTTGCAACTGTGCCTCCAACTCTGAAATGCTCATCTGACTTCTATGAAGATAAGCTTCGGTCTCCTCGGACCGTCCGGTCCAAGCATAGACGGCCTCTTCTACTTTCCTCATGTCAGCCTGCTTTTGGTCCAGGATGGATTCTAGATTCCAGAGAGTTGGCGGGTACTTCAACTTATTTGACGGTGCGCCACCTGCACAAGTCGGAGGACCTCGGCGTTCTCGAATCCGAACTTCATAAAACAGATGAAAATCATCTCCACAGTTTCGAATAGTCACCAAACCGCATTTTCCAGACAATTGCAGAATATCTCCTGAACTATTTATGTAATAGCCAAATAATCCAAGGCCAAGTCACCAAAACAGTGGATTTTTTCCTCCTTGTCATTTCCGATGCTTTTGTCTGAATTGTTATGTAGATTTACCGTTACCTGAAAACGGAAGGCAAAATGGACATTTGGCAGACAGCTGGGCATCCGATCATAATTCTCTATAGCACACCATCCACTATGACAATTTAGGCACTTTCTTTGAAGAAATCCGAATGTACACAATCCTCTTCGTCCAAATAGAAAGAAGGTCTCTCATCTAAGCGAAACAACAGCAGAATTTATGTCACTTTTGAGAGTCATGGTTTCTTAAGTTTCACTCCGTCCAGCATATGATGCCTGAAGGCTCCATAATTTGATATTTTACGCTCCACTTCGCCCCTGCTTTTCGGAGCGAGTATGGATTTCACTGGTGTGTATTAACATTTATCATAGAATGGCAACTACAGTAATTCCGCACCTGGATAGGAATAAATTTGCATATCAGATCCGTTCAGAGATAAGGGTGATGGAAGGTTGTGATGTCATGAGTACCTTATTGGCAGCAATGAAGTAATCATCTTTCGGCATAACATGCCTTGTGTACTTCTGATGGTGGCAAAATCGAGATTTGTTAAAAATATTGATCGGTACATCTGATGGACCTCTGTGTCAACCTTTCAAAGAAGGTTTCTAGATCTGATAACAGGGCATCATTTTAGGAAGTGTGCTTAGCTGTAGTAATGCTTAGCTGTAGTAATGCTTACAATTAGTTTCTCATCAATTCTCAGATTGAATGAGCTCTCATCAAAGTACGTTTGAATATCTTCCTTTAAAATTTATGAAGGTTGATAATCATTTATACACAAACTTTGCTATCGGCCAAGGAAGTGAGGAGAGTGTTAATTTGAAAAACTTGGAGCAAGGTGGAATAGATTTGAGACATTTTCATACTGCATGTGGTGTTCATCATAAATCAACTAGTTTGACTTGACCAACGTTAACTACTTAACTAAAGTTTGTAAGCACAAGATCGAGCGGTTAGTGAACTCATAAATAAATTTATAAATGAAGGTCAATTCAGGAGAGTTTTTTGAGGGGCGATGAGAAGACCATTCAAAACATGGAGAAGTTAGAATTCTTTCCTACCTGTCAGCATGTACTCTCTGAGGCATAAAAACCATATGAAGCATCTCTCAAAGAGCCTGTTGACCGTCAGCTCGAGTTGGGAGATGAGAACGTCACCACTTGTGACCCAAAGCATGAGTTTTGATAACGAGGGAGTCCGTATGACAAAGATTTTAAAGAAATCCTTCCAAATAGGAGTACAGGAGCAAACGAAGACTTTTGCAAGAAGGAAGATTACGAAGGAAGATTTTGCAAAGGTTCATGTTGCATCTGTGTCTAAACATATGCTTGTCAACTGCATAAGGACATTTTAACCTCTTCAAATTCCTAATTTGTCAAAATGCCAGAACGACGACCTTTCTTCATGCACTCCTCGCACACCCATGCATGCCCACCTAATTCTAATCTCGCGTATTTCACCTGATACAACTTGAAGACTGCCGAATAGTTAATAGGCTCAAGAGTTTGCTGAATCCTCGGCCATGCTTCTTTGAGCTCCATGCTTTCCCCACCTTTTAGAACTGCCCTTCGATCACCATCGCTAATGCCATCTAGTTTAACAATGTCAGATTTTAAATCTCCCCAGTCTGGAATCGCTTGGCCTACCCCGAGGGTCGCATTCAGTCCAGCCTTTGCAGCATAATACGTGAGTTTGAATGAAATTTCGATAGTTTTCCGAATCCACCCGCAGTTCTCCTGATCCAAGCGGATCTTCAAACCTTCTTGATCTTTGACAAGGTGAAACCCAGTCGCAGACTCACACATCAAGTGTAATCGAACGGTTATCCCGGCATGCAGTTTCGCACTCATCCTATAGAAAATGTTAACATCATTCGTAACATAAGGTCGCTTGGGGGTTCTGGTCTGCTGAAACTCTTGAGTATACTCAATAATCCTGTCCACTTTAGTCATGAAATCACTCAGCGTTGACTGCAATTCTTGCTGCAGAGAGAGTATCTGTTCTATCTTCAACTCCAATCTTTCCAAACCTAATCTCAACGTCTCAAACCCACCATCAACCTTTTTTTCGATCCTTTCCAAAGCATGTTGGATTTCACGATATTCAATACCTGTGCTCTTCTGACTTAAGCACCTGGATGAGGGTCGTTTGGAGTCTTTCATTTTAGGGTAAGAATGAATCAAATCTCTGTTCACTTCGTCTAAACCTTGCTGAAATGACTCCAATTGTTGCATTCGCTTCTGTTTGATCTCATTCACAACCGCTTCCAAATCACTTTCCCACAACAAATCCCTAGCTCTTTCAGAAATTACCCCTGTGTGACCTTCAATTGTTGCATTCGCTTCTGTTTGATCTCATTCACAACCGCTTCCAAATCACTTTCCCACAACAAATCCCTAGCTCTTTCAGAAATTACCCCTGTGTGACCTTCAATCGAGCGCCAAGAGTGCTCATAGTTGAACAACTCTTTTTCCTTCTCCAAGTGAAACCTATCCGACTGAATATTCTCAAGTTTGTCATTGATGTAACAGATGAAGTTTGATTTGAGCTCCTCAATCAGAATGGCTCCTCTAAGATGACTCGGAATCAGCATCTCCACGCAACGTGTTTGGATCACACCCAGCACTAACGCCACACCGGGACAACCTTTGGATGATGCGCAAAATGATATTAACTCCTGGACGATATGCTTCTTCACGTATTCAATAGCCATCTCCCTTGGCTTGTGATCTGAGCATAACATCAGAACATCCACGTAATTGCGGGACGTTCCTTGCTCCAGATATATCTCGTGCCCATCAAGGAAAAGTCGCATATAATGTCGAGAGCAGGTTAAAGTCTCCTTGTCAACATGCATCTCTGATATCAACTTGCGTCTCATGAACATCTACAATGATACAGAATTTGGTAAATGTTAAGCTGCGCATTCCGAAAATTAAATTCATTTAATGAAAAGGGAAAATTTCATTTATCTAACACACGTTACAATTAGAACTCAACGCATTCAATTTTTTTACGGTATATATGAAATCACCTGGAAGCATGGGAAAAAAGCAGCGGTCAATGACATTGTTCTTCGATCTTGGCATTGAATCCGGATGCCGACAAACTTTGAAGTTCCAACCCTAAGTGCCCAATCCTTCGATTTCACGTCCGCCAATTCTTGAGGCTTCAGTACTTCAGTGCTTGCATGCTCAGGTATGAAGGAAGGAATGAAATACTTAGAAGTATCTTCCACCTTGAAACACAAATCTAGGTTGATAAGGATGTTTTCAAGCACATCTCTATCCACACAACTCCGTCCATGAGGTACCTTTCCCAGAAACTCTTCTATTAATCCAGCAAAAACACCCTCACTCACAAATCCGTCCTTGCTTGCGGATGAGTCACGTGACATCAGAGCTACCAGCTTACCCAATAATTTATTGGTGAGCCAGTTTGGATCAACAATGATGTAATCAAGGTTGGGTATAGAAACTATGGATCCGACGTCATTCAAATAAGATATGATTGATTTCATTATCCTTGAATGATCACGGGCGTGAGGAGGAGAAGATGGACAGAATTGGGTCAAGATAGGGGCACAAAAATCATGAAACTTTTCTGATGGCCAAAGAGGGAACCTTCTGTTCTTCTTGGTTTTTTTAACCAAGAGGTGCGAAAGTTGAGAACACACTTGGGGAACCCGTGGGGATT